ATACACAACCTACCGAATACAAGTGTTTCCATGCTTCTAGGTACTACGCCTATCTACACAACACGCTCGAAAAAGCGGTGAACTCAATGAGCCAAAAGAACGCACCTCAATGGCCAAGTAGAAGTCTATGTAGTTCTGTCCACCAACTGTTTGAAGGTAGTCAATAAAATAGGAAACAGCGACTCCCGTTGGTCAGCACTACGTGAAGTGGAAGCTGTACCAACCCGTCTTCACTTCGAGATCACGCGAGCCTAGAAAATCTTTCATCGTTCGTAATTCAGTGAAATAAGAAGGATTGCACTATTTACCTTTTTACGACCCCCCCCCCAGAATTTTGTGTAGTTTTTCAAACAAATCCTGCACTGAAAGCGGATTTGGTTAAACTTTCCCTCGGAGATACTCAGACTTGACAGCAGCGGGTACGATTGCTGAAGGCGGGCGGCTGTCGCCAAAGCCATTGGTGGAAGGGCTGAAAAAAGGATGTGACCTAACGCCCTCTCGCAGCCGTTTCATCAGTGAGACTGGCAACAACCACAGCAATCGTGCTCACTGCCTTCAAGGAACATGGATATCACATCCATCTGCCGAGTTCTAGGCAAAAGTACCAGGGACAAACTTCGAAAGAAACTAGAGGGGGGGGTGCACATAAAGGTAAATAGTGCTAAAAATGCAACCTAATGAAACAACGTATGAAGCGAACGCACAAAGGAAAATAAGGATGAAATAAGACAAAATCAAAAGTGAAGCATTTCAAAGAACAAAGAAGTACTATTGACAAGGCTCACTTACGCAGCATCAATGCCCGACAAAAAGTTTCTGTAAGGCTGTAAATAACTCTTACCACGTCTAAACCGCCACTGTCCACGGTGTTATTGGTTAGTAGAACTAGCCTTTTCCTTATGAGACCGTCAACGAAATCGAGGCTGCTCAGTTGCTGCTTGACGAAAACTCCTGAAAGAAAAAAAACTCAGTTTCCATGACTACTGCTCGTCTTAGAGGCAGTCGCCGGGCTCAGCCGATTCATAGGCGTCCTTGCTTGTTCACTTAGATTGGCCCTTAATCTCTAAGAATGTCCGTTTTTGCGGCTTCACAGCATGTAACAAAGGTGCTGCCCCCCCCCCCTAAGTAGCAGGACTGACGCCTCCGTGCTTGTCCCCTTCACCAAAACTCACAGGCTAGTTTCTATCACGACTCATTGCGTAAAGCGCGAGCAACTCTACAGTAACGGCCGCCAGGGGTGTTTATTTCGAGCGACCACACATTTTTGGCTTTTTTCTTCCGTGAAGAGTCACTCAGCGATCAAAGGTTTGTGACTAAACGCCACCCTCTACAATGTGCAATCACGCAGTTCGTCTTCAAGGTGTACGAGAAAATGGTTGAGAACATAAGCAAAAAAAAAAAAGTAAGAAATTCTCTACCCACCTTGCTCACCACCGGAATCTTTTCCACGCAGGACCATTTTTTCATCCTGTACTGACTTATGCACTGCCTCAAGCTCATCTACAGAGACACTGTTTTCCAAACAGGCGACAAAATCATCAGGCCGTGGAGAGATTTCACTCAGCTGAATTGAACGTGTGAGAAATGTTCTGCGAGAGCGACGTAGAGTTTTGTCGGTGCGGATTACGTGATGTGTCAGCGCGGCTGCGTCTGCCAACCCTTTCTCCACCTGTTGCCGAATAACTGACAAAAGGTGGAGGAAAACGACTGATACAAAAGATATAACACAGACTTGCCACTTGCCGAAAGAAAACGGAATGGCGCGGCGCTAAGCGCAGTCGCACTGCCGCGCCCCATCACTTGCAACGAACGAGGCTATAGAAAATCTCACCAATCTAATTAAAATTTGGTTCATCTCATCAGGTTCAGAAAAGTGGTCAAGAAGTGGGATGATGATACGCCGCACTGAAACATAACATTACAGCATTTCCGAGAGTACCAAAGAGAGGTATTTACTGCACGCCAGAAAAAAATTGAATTGATCACATAAAAACTGTTGCTAACGCACTCTTTTCAAAAGAGAAAAAGGGGCGTAAATGGAATCGAAGGAAAACTTCACTGTAACCCACCAATAACCTCTCGGAGCAAAAATCTGAGTGGCCTGCAGCGGAAGTCTTCAGGAGGCATGATGAGATAAAGTACAATATCGACAACATCGTGAAGATACGCTAAAACAGGCTCTGATAGTCATGAGGAAAAGAGATAGGGGTTCGCCAAGAGCAGCACTTTAGAATGGCTAATCATTTACAAGGTGAAAAAACGAAGAAAAGGAGAAATTAGTGTCTTTGTTTACG